ACCTCTAAGAGAGGTTATCTTTTTGTTTATAACCACTCATTGCCACTCCAATACAGTATAATTAGCTAATTGGTGTCTGGTAAAACTCATTACAGTACAGTAGTATGCAATGAAACCCCATTTGATTAAGCTGGTGGCAAGCAGCTGTTTTCTGGACTAAATCCTTGCATGGGAAGTTCGTCAAAATAGTGTAGTGTGGCGCAAACTTATTTTCAGGGCTCCTTATTATCTAGGAAAAATTGATGATCAGGAATCACAATTTTAAAATTAAATTGTAAATTTAAAATTCCCATGTTATTCTTATGGAGAATAAGTAAACTGTTGTAGTTTGCTTGTTTGTGAACATATTTTGATCAAATTTGGAAAATGTTTTTATTTCTTACTAACTATTCACATTTTACAAAAAAAAAAAAAAAAAAAAAACAGTTTTACCCTCCCTGATGCAGCAAACCTAAGTACTTGTTAAACTAATTCTATTTAAATCAAGAATAAATGTTATATTTTTAAGTAGACATTTCAGTGTAAATCCAATCAGTCAAATGGAAATTCGCTTAGTCTGCAGGTTTGCTGCGGCGGGGGTATTTAAGTTATAGTATGCATTATGCAATGGAAGGTAATATGTAGCTACTGTACTAAAAACCAGTGTGAGAATCTACCACCAATCCCACTTCAAGGCTTTTTAAATCAAAATTAAAAAAAAAACACAGATGTATACAATCAGAATTTCGGTATTACATTTTGATATAGATCTTATTAATACAGTCCAACCTCAGTATAACGAATCTGAAGGGACCGAACTGAATATTCGTTATATCAAGGATTTCGTTAAAACGAGGTTCGTTATAGAGGTTAGGTTTGTAGGAATTTCGCTAAGTCGATGTTCAGAACCAGTGTCGGTCATTATAGGTTGGGATTTGACCTCATTAAAATACAGTACAATTAAAGTAGCATAGGCTACAATACTTTACAGTACAGTGTTTACATTGTATAGTAGAACCTAAATTATCCGGCATAATAAAGGGGATGGATCTTGAATATTGCGCAATCATGACAATGGCATTGACCTTGGTACAGGTTAAAAACTGTAAGTTTAAAATCACAGCTTGTTCTAACCCTCCTAAAACCTAGCCAAACACTGTATTGTGTAGTCATAAACCATGTAAAGAACAAAACAAAACAGTAGAAAGTTTTGTAAGCTACTGCTTGCGATAGGCCGGTAGGCTACTTACAGTACAGTACTGATTTATCACAACAGAGGAATGTCAATAATAATCAGCATTGGTGTTGCTAGTTGAAACAAATCGTATTGAAAACAATAAATTATTAGATAAGTCATTATCAAAGTGTCAAATCATAGCCAACTTAAGGATAATAAAAACACTTGTAAAAGGAATGTTAAAATAACAATGTAGCTATTCTTTCTCTTTGGTTTTGTTTTTATATTCTTTCTTAGGTTTCTCTTTATCAAAAAATTGTACAATTCTCCATAGTTACTTATCGCCCAATCACAGCTTACTAAACATTACGTCGTCCTCGTTATCAGTCCTCACCTCTGTAAAATGAAATCAATTCTCAGTTGCAAGTTGCAACATAGCGCGCGCAGCTACAGCAGACAGAGATGTGTAAAACGGAGCAGACGAATGTTAGCGCAAGCGATGACGTGACTTTTCCATTTCATTTGATAAAGAAACAGATTTTCCTAAAACAATAATTGGGTGGGGGATTTGTTATATCGAGGGAAAGACGTAGACAATTTGTGATGCAGAGGTTAAATTCGATATGTAGAGGTTCTGACAATGATAAATTTGTTATATTAAGGTGTCTTATTTTAGTCGAAATCATGAAAAATTTGTTAAATCAAGGTCGTTGTTATGGTTTGTTTGTTATGTAGAGGTAAAATATACATTGTGTCTTATGGAGAGTTCTAGGGGATTAAAAAAAATTCGTTATATCAAGGAATTTGTTATATCGAGGTTTGTTATATCAAGGTTAGACTGTATTATAAATGTGAAAGTTTGTGTGTTTGTTTGTTTATTTGAAGTTCAATCACGCATTAACTGGTTGGATTGGGCTGAAATTTGGTATGGTGATAGCTCACATTCCGGATTAATATACATACATATTCTTATTTCAAAAATCCTTTCGGGCTCCGCCCCAGTGGCTCTGAAGTTCCCCATGTTAACCTTATGAGTATTCATATTTAAAAGGAATTAAATAATTTTGTCAGCTGTTTCAAAATTACAGAAGTTGGTTCTATGATGTTAAATAGCATTAAAAAGTTATAAGGTTACCAACAGGGTGCAGCACTATTAATATTTTTGTATTTATGACAACAGCTAATTTGAACCAACTAGCAACAAAAAGCTGTGATATAGAATGAGAACTTTACTTTTTTCTATTGTTTAGGTGCAATGGTAGAAAATGAAGGCTATGATAGATGTGCTATACTACAGCATACCGTAAATTAAAAGAACCAAATTTTCTTAAACCGTGTCCTCTCCCATTGAAAACGCAAAGCCAAGTATAACTGCGTTAAGCATTTTGTATACTTATACGCCAACCCCGTACGAAGGACGGGTACTCTGCTAGTTTTAAATAAGACTAGTATAAAATGACGTTTTTCTTGATTTTTGGCAATATTTGCAGCCGATGAGCGACCGGAAGATATTAACATACAATAGGCTACCATTATTAAGAGTCTTGTAGAAGACATTTTCAACTATTACATATTAAAAATGGAAAATTTAAAAATTGTAAAAACTCTGATAAAAAATTAGTTCTTCATTTTTTGTTCAAACTTTAGGAACATGCGCAACCGGAAAATAACAACTAATATTTGAAATATTTTAAAATCAATTTAAAATACGGAAATTTTCTGTTTTGGTCTCACAATTTAGCAACTTTTCCAAGGTATTACAACTAAAAAAAATGTGTGTTTTTTTTCTACCACCCTAATACGCAATGAATAAAATGCTGCCTAAAATTAGTAAAATTAACCTTAGATGTTTATTAAATTATACCAAAACAAAGTTGAAAAGTCAAAGTGTATGGATTTATCCATAAATAATAATTATTTAACGTATCTGAACTCAAACTGAAAATTGAAAAAAATATGTGTAGATATGCTGAAGACTTAAAAATAGGGCCTACAGTAAATTGTAATTTATTTTTGTTCTTCACACAGGAATTCGATCTCAGCACTTTTTCATGCCATAATCTAGGGGTATTAAAGCAATTTCGGAAGAAACCTTGATCTCAGACCAGAGTGAGATAATGTTGCCTTGATCATATGAAATGACTGCGAAGTTGCCATACTTTCACAGGAAATTAAGATGATGTTACAGCAAAATTTATGGATGAGCACAATTTTGCCAGATAGAAAAATATTCTGGAAGTGGTATTTATTTTGAAATCAAGGAGTATCATAAATCAACGATTCCTCGATACCTTCTGTATCCAAAGTTAAGATGAATCAGAATCAGCCTATTTCAGGGTTTAAGGTTTAACCACAAAATTAATTAATTGAGTAGGCCTACCAAAATGATGAGGGATAGCCTACATGGTGTCTCTGTATTTATGGTGTTTCTTTTATAGTTCTAAGGACAATAATCTCAGGATGATTAAGAAATAACTGAATCGGGGAATATGATCACTACAGTGTCACCGCCGCAGGATATTTTCATGATGTTACGTCAAATTTACTAGTTGATCACAATTTCCCCTTGATCACAGGAAATTCTGTGATCAGTATTGAAAGGTAATTTTTAATCCTGCAGGAAAAACTTAAAATCCGGGTTTAAAGAGTTAAAGTTAAGTTTTTATTAACTTTGAAAACTTTATTTAGCAATGCCTGCCCAGCAAATTTTAAATTACAATTCGGGAATTCGCCAGTCCAATATTAATATCAATTATTTCAACACAACAATTAAAAACAAGGTGTCTAGTTTATTTCCATTATAAAATTCAAGACTAATTCCAGACTATTCAAAACTAATTCCAGATTTTTCAAGACTAGTTTTTTCAAGAATTAGAGGGCGTTGATAAAAAAATGTATCGATTCTCGATTCTTGATACCGATACCAATTTTTATAGCTTAACTAAATTTTCTAAATAATACTACACCAACCCCTGTCTTTGTCATAAAGTAGTATTATGATAATGTGGAGTTTTCAAGTAAAGAAATAATGCAGCAATAAAAAATTCGAACTAGCAAATTTGGTTGTTTTTTATCATGAAATCTTCCGCGTACCGTACGTTTAGACATCATCATTGACTGCAGCGGTTACAGAAACATGATCATCGTCGTCCGCACGGCAAAATCCTGAACATTTCCCGCGGCTGTTTAGACATCACCGTCATCTCCCGCGGTCACGGAAACATTATCATCGTCGTCCGCGATCACGGCAAAATAATGAACATTTCCCGCGGCCGAGCAGATATCATTGTCGTCTTCCACGGTCACGGAAACGTCATCGTCATCTCCCGCGGTCACGGAAACGTCATCGTCGTCGTCCGCGATGGTGGCAAAATCATGAACATTTCCCGCGGCTGTTTAGACATCACCGTCATCTCCCGCGGCCAAGGAAACGTTATCGTCGTCGTCCGCGATCACGGCAAAATCATGAACATTTCCCGCGGCTGTTTAGACACCACCGTCGTCTCCTGCGGTCATCGTCATCTTCTGCGGTCACGGAAACGTTATCGTCGTCTCCCGCGGTCACGGTAACGTTCTCGTCGTCCCCAGCAGTCACGGAAAGGTCATCATCGTCTCCCGCGGTTTCGGAAACGTCATTGTCGTCTCCCGCGGTTTTGGAAACGTCATCGTTGTCGTCCACTATCGCGGCAAAATCGTGAACATTTCCCGACTTTGAAATTAAATTTAAGACTAAATCCTGACTTTTCAAGACCATTATGAAATTCAATACTAATTCCCGACTTTCCCGACAACTAGACACCCTGAAAAATCAAAGATCATGCAGTGACATAGTTTAACTACTTACCGTGTTGTGCCGTGAGTCTTCATAGTCGTCATCATGTTGTGGTTGTGATGGAGGTTCTTGTTTAATGCTCATTGGGGGGGTATCAAGGTCATTTGGGGCACTGGACAACTGGACATTCTTTGACGATTGAGAGTTTAAAAATGACGGAGGTGAGGATTTGATGAAACTCAACGGACACTGTGAACAAAAGAAACAAATAAAAATTAGTTACAGAAAATTTATTAAGTAGAAAATACAGGGTCAATAAGAACCGTGCCGGATTTAGTGTTCTTATGTCCCTAGGCCAAATTAATTGAGCGGCCCCAACCCTGTGCCTGAGGTGGAGTTCCCTGTAATAGTGGTGAAATCACAAAAATCCCCACAGTCATCATCATCATCGCCACCAGCGTTCAAGGGCCGCAATCATGGGTATACAGTAGAACCTCTTTAATCCGAACTCCTGTAATCCGAACGTCCACTAATCCGAACGCCTCATTGCTAGTACTCTATACACAGTACAGTAGTTCGTTATTGTATACTGTATTTATTGATATAAGCACCGTAATTATTTCAATTGTAATGTACAGTACTGTTTATTCCCTATGTTTACTACTGTATTAAATAAACACTGTATTTTACTTAATAAAGCATTTTTCACTTTTCTCTAGCTATTGTTATGTAAAAACAACAATATGTTCTGTAATCCGAACTATTCAATAGTCCGAAGTACCCCCGGTCCCAATTAGTTCGGATTAAAGAGGTTCTACTGTATCATTATTGACAACCATGGCCGCGGCAAAATCGTGAACTTGTCCTGCGAGACGCAATCACGGGTACATCATCATCGACAACCGTAACCACGGTAAAATCATAAACATCCCAGTGGGGCGCAATTGCGGGGACATCATTATTGACACCTGTGGCCGCGGTAAAATCGGGGATATCTCCCACAGGCCACAATTGTGGGACATTATCATCATCACTCACGATTGCAGAGAAATCCCGAACACTTACCCTAAACTACCTTTTTCATGGGATTATCGTCACTGACAACCGCGGCCGCGGCAAAATCATGAACATTTCCCGTGGGCTACAATCACGAAGACATCATTATCGACAACACAGCCGCGGCAAAATCATGAACATCTCTCGCTTGCCACAATCACGGGGACATCATTATCAACAACCGCGGCCGCAGGAAAATCGCGAACATCTCCCTCGGACCACAACCACGGGGACATAGTTATTGACACCTGCGGCCGCGGAAAAACCGTGAACATATCCCTCTGGCCAAAATCACGTAGTCCCAGCAAACTGATGGTCAACAATTTGAATTTGACATTTTTTGTACTGAAAAATATTTTTGGCCCACTTTTGTTTAGTGGCAAAATCCGGCACTGATTAAGAAAAGGTGTCTGAATTTTTTTTATGTGAGTTAAAATGTGCTGAAAGTTTTCCACATTATTACAGTAGATCTTAGCCATTGTATTGCAATTGCTCTTCTGAGAAGCACAGATCTATCCTTAAATATTTATCTATTGAGCACATTAACTTGATTGTCATGTTTCGGGTTAACATTCTTTACCTGCTACATTTGCCAACGTAATGGCTTATATCTAGATCCTTAAAGGTTTTCCTTGCACGTCCTTAACCAGGGTCTGCACTTGAAACTTGGAAATTATGCACAGTCATAATTTTTTTCAGGGTGTCCAGCGACCTATCAAAATAAAATTCAAGGACAGTTCCAGGTTTTCTAAGTTCAAAATTCAAAATTAGAAGGACAAAACTTGTCACTCAAAGAAAAGAAAACTTACTTATTTATACCTGCAGGTAAATTGAAACCCCTCCTGCGAATTCCGTGATAATTTCTTACAGTAGCAGCCACATAGGTGATCATATCTTTCGATCGCAGCAAATTTGATGATTTCCCCCAATGGCGGCAACATCCGTGATGATTACCCACTATCGCGGCAATATCTGTGATGATTCCCTGTGATCACGGCAAAATCCCTGATTATTTCTTATGATATCGGACATCCCTTCGATCACCATGAATGATAATGTAACACCTCCGGTTATTTGCCATAACCGCGGTAATATCTGTGATAATTTGTCGTTATTACAGCAACAAATCTGATGATTTTCTCGCGATGTCGGGTATCCGTACTACTACCGTTTACTAGACGAGTTTTCATACCCTTTTGTATTTTGTGTCCTGAGGCTAAATCGGCCAATTTAAATGGTGGAATTCAAAAAGCCTAGCCTATATTATGAAGGTGTGAGCTAATGAAAACTTTTTGGCTGGATATATTCTTGGGTAGAGATTCTCATTCTATGCATTTTGTATGGTCACGACGGTATGCACAGTAAAAGTGCTAAAAGTCATTTTTTGACTTAGGAGAAAGTCCAGCCCCAACATAAGAATTCACCTTACACGTAAGAATCATTTTCAGGAGCCAACTGAGGTTCTGAAGTTAGAAAGGATAACCATGTCTTTAAGACATAGAACCAGACTCTTGGCTAACATCTAGTTTCAGCAACAGGAGAAAAGGCTCAAACTTTTTTGCTTGTGTGTGAGGAATCACAGTGGGCACAATTTTTACAAACCACCTCATTTAGCCATAATCAAATACATTAATACAAGAATTGATGATTAGAGACACCTCTTTTTATGACCCTGTGTTATGGTACCTTATTAATAAGCCTACTTCATACTCTGGTAGCATAACTATTACTAAACTAGTTTAAGACGTTTTTTTCTAAACTGTTTTACGTTGGTTTATTTTGCGTGCATTTACATTTCCCATTCAAGGTTGGTCATTTAAAAAACAAAATTTATGATATTCATTCTTTGTCATGGACTATACTTTTTGGAGAAATGGTATTCAAAACAGTTATAGATAAGACCCTAACATGTATCGGTTTTGGAAATTTTTACATACTTCATCTCATTTTGCTGTTTTGACACTTTAAACATTTGCAAAGTGCCCATGGTTAATGTATAGCACAGTAAAGTTATATAAACAGATTTAAGAAGGCAATGGGAAGGCTGTTGCACGGGTCCCCTGGTTTGCATATTTCCCGCAGTGTAAGATGCTCATGTCGATCGCATTTTATTATTCGTGTAAATGCTTAAGTCTTTTAAATTTTTGTTGTATACACGATATACAGTAGAGTTGTAGTTGTAGTTGTAGACTCCCTCTTATCCGGACTCCTCGGGACCGAGGCCAGTCCGGATAACGGGTTTTCCGGTTAAACCGACGTCCCCAAAAACTTGTTATGTAACCCAAATATTTGACTTAAATTTAGGAGAGCATTGTATTTAGACACGTGATCACTGGACACAAATCTTTCCCACGAGAACAGTCGTTTCCGTACCGCCCACTTCCTGCTGATCTAGTCCGGTTAAACCAATGTGCTGATAAAAATTGTCCAGTTAAAGAGATTTCATTTCCGCCGAGTGTAGTCCGATTAAACCGATGTCCGGTTAAAAGGTGTCCGGATAAAAGGGAGTCTACTGTATATGCCAACCCCGTTCGAAGGACGGGTGCTCTGCTTGTATAAACATATCTAAACTTAAAAGCAGTTTGTCAAAAAAATCACACACCTCAATATGGAAATATTATTTAAAAATTTTTACTATTTACTTTATCTTTGTATTGCATTATAAGTGTTCCAAATTACAAAAACTATAAAGGGTGTTGAATGTTGCGATCTTGGGAATTCCAATAATTTAGTTCAAGGTAATAAAATTCAACTGGATTGGTAAAACTATTGATTATCTATTATTATCTCCCCAGTATAATCAACGGTTACACTGACTAACTACAGTATCTGACTCTGACAGCGGAAAACTGCAGTCGCCGAAACAATTCAAGATTTTAGGTTCTAAAAACCTTTTTTTCCTTACTATTTTCAGGCAGGCACTAGTTTTAGCTAAAGATTTTGAAATATTCGTAAATATTTTATATTATTTAGGCAGCCATTTTTTAGGCGCAAAAATGTATTTGTTACAAACGTTACTTGCCATATTTACGTTGAATATACAAATCACAACAAGAATGCACATCCAAACAACCAAAAACTTGGCATGGCGTCGGCAGTATTTCTTGATAGGCCTATAGATATAAAATGAAAAATAAAATTTCATTAGTGTTAAATTCAAAGTCTAAAATTATAAATTTTGTATATATTGACACAAAAATCCGTCATTCGTGGGGAAGGGGGGCGTTCCCCCTGTTTCCCGCCCCCCCCCATAATCCCCCTCTCTAGAGTCCATTTTCAAAATCCAGTTACGCTGACCAACTTATTATTAACGGTTTAAATGATAATTGTAGTTTAACAACTGTTTCTTCAGTTGAATGTAAACCACCGTCCGATTGTAACAAGAGACTGAAAAGTATATGAAAATGTATTTTAAATAGGATACTTTTTTGACAACTGTAACCCGATTTAGGTAGGTAAATTACACCTTATAGTGTATATCTAAAATCAACAAATTGATTGTATTAGTTCTATTCACCTAATAACCGTTCTCTACAAACATGGTCTTGAAAAGGTAAATGGGCATTGCAGGGATTCATTTTGTACTACTCTGTGAACTAAGTACAGTGGGGTCACGCTCGCTACTTGGGAACACGGAAAACTAAGACCTTAACTCTATTTATTACTTCTCTGTGTGTAGAGCTATCACTTGTGAAATAACTGTTAGTAGATCTACATGGGCTCAAAGAAAACAGCCAAACGTTTTGATTCCCTCCACATTAAATAGATTTAAAATTTACGTATTTATTGAAATAATTTTTTTTAATTGTTTGCGAACTACCCCAAAGCAGAACGTTTTAAACTTTCTGAAGTTCGAATACGCCTATTATTAATTACATTGAATCACTTTGGTTATTCTATGCGTTCTTCCTCACAATCAATGCACCGAATATTGACGCTGCAGCCTTCGTTTATGTAATGAATAACAGCGTTACTGTTTGCAGAATGGGGAATTTTATGCTGATAATAAAGTTGTTGACTTTCTACAGAAATATTTTCTGCAAATAAAAACAACTTTATTAATTTGTTATGTAGCATTTTCTGCAGAGGCTTATACAGGTAAAGTGTAAAAAGGGCCACATGGCACTAACTTTGCCTGTAAAAATAAATAATTCTTAATAAAAAATAAAATATTTTTGCCAGTTGTGCAGACT